TGGGACTTTTTAAAAACGCCGCAGGACGCGGGAAAAATTGTTCAAAATCGGGACTGTCCCGCCAAAAGTGGGACGTCTGGTCACCTTATCCTAGAGGGTTCCCAAGAGGCAGACTCCACTCGAGGACAGTGGGTTTGGCTTTGGGGTTTGGCCTCCTTCAGCACCAGTGCCCAGCGGCGATCTTGTGGCCACTTGGGGTTCTTCTCAGATGCTGGGGTCATTGTGGTGTTGAAGGAAACCTGGGTGTTGGCATCAGACACTGGAATTCGAGGCCAGCGGGCCAGGACGCTGCTGGTGCTGCACACACAGACAGGTTTCGCAGGGGAATGGACGGCTTTCTAACACCAGTCCGCACGGGCAGTACCCATTGCCGCCAAGCCCCCTTAACTCACAGTGGTGCTTCAGAGCACCGGCCGTGTCCCGCAGGGTTTGCAATGACTGGGTTTGCAGAAGCAGATCACCAGGCCTTTCTTCTGAGGTACCTCTGGACAGCCCTGCACCTCCCGCCTTTCCATCAGCAGCTGAGTGTGAACCGTGTGCCCCGCCCAGGGTGCAGCCAGGTGTAGATTAACATGCTTGCTGAGCTGGGTGCTGGGTGAGGCTCCTCTGAGCTGGCACTCGCAGCTTCTTGTGGCTGGGCTGGGGGGAGGAAGCCAGCTCAGGGTCCAGCCTTCCCTTGAGGACATTTGCAGGCCCGTGTCCTGCCCTTCCAACAGTGCCCTGAGTCTTCCTGCAGAACGTGGTGGGTGCAGCTGGGAGGCACCTCTGGCCTCAGGCCCACAGCCAAGCCTGGAGCTTGGAGGAGGGAGGAGGGGGAGAATGAGGAGAGGGCAGAGTGGGGGAAGAACCCCTCTGTTAGCTGCAGTGTGGTCACCTCCCTCCACAGAGGGCTGGCTCTCCACCAGCCCACATGTGCACCAAGGACTCCGGTGCTGTGGGGAGCGCCGGGAAGCCCATCCCTGGCGGGCATCTGACCATGGGACTGTTTCCTTTGTGGCAGGGGCCCGCCCCGGAGCTCCAGCAGTGACCCCGACTTCGTGGTGGTGGACGGCGTGCCCGTCATGCTCCCAACCTATGACGAGGCCGTGAGTGGCGGGTTGAGTGCCTTAGGCCCCGGGTACCTGGCCGCCATGGGCCAGGGCTGCCCCTTACCCGTGGACGACCAGAGCCCCCCAGCATACCCTGGCTCAGCGGACCTGGACACAGGCCCAGGCGAGTCAGAAACCTGTGACAGCACCTCAGCCTCCTCCGAGCTGCTCCAGAGCCTGTATTCACCACCCAGGGGCCCAGGGGGCACCCGGCCCTCCTCGGACACCCCTGACACGGGGGCCAACACGGGTGGGGAGGCGGCCTCCGCCAGCCCGGGCATCGACATCGCAGATGGTAAGTGCACCCGAGGTCAGGACCCCGTTACTCACACCTCAGCAGCTAGCATCACCCCACCAGCATGCACATGGTTAAGCCCAAGACTCTGTGTTTCAATGAACTGGGGGGTTGGCTGATGTTTCCTAGCAAACTGACATTGATTATTAACTAATAGATTAACTTTTTCTTCATTTTCTCCCCATCCTGACTCATTTCAGGACTTAGAGTGATTTGAGGTCCCTGGTGGTACAAAGGAGCCTTGGTGGTGTAGTGGCTTACGCATTGGGCTGCTCACCACAAGACCAGCAGTTTGAATCCACCAGCCCCTCCACAGGAGACTGATGAGGCTGTCTACTCTCATAGAGAATTACGGTCTCAGAAACCCACAGGGGCAGTTCCACCCTGCCCTACAGGGCCGCTCTGAGTGGGAGTCTACTCAATGGCAGGGAGCAGTGCTGCAAACAGTTAGCACTCCATTATTGGCCCTGGTGGCTGTGTGTGGGATAAGCACCAGGCCGCTAACCTCCAGGTCAGCAGTTCAAAACCCACCAGCCATTCCATGGGTGGAAGATGAGGCTGCCTGCTCCTGTAAAGACTTAGTCTCTGAAACCCTGAATACGGTCCTTATGAGTCAGTACTGACTCGGTGGCAGTGGAATTGAATGAAAAGTTGATGATTGGAACCCACCCAGAGGCGCCACAGAAGAAAGGCCTGGTCATCTGGTTCTGTAACGATGATGGCCCTTCCATGCATCCGAGCAAGCTCGGTGGGTCTGGCTTTGTACGCCATCACCGGGGTTCTCGTGGGGCTCCTGGCTGTGGCCGACCTGCAGTGGGTTTCCGTGTGCTAAATTTGTGACCACGGCTTCTTTTACAGAGATCCCTCTGATGGAAGAAGACCTTTAACCAGGCAGAATGCGGGGGAGTCTACTATCGCCTTGCAGACAGGAACCCGGTCGGTCCCTTGGAACGAGGTGACAGAGGACAGAGCCGGGGTGTTTTCCAAGTTATCTACGTGGTGATGGTGCCTGGCGTTGCGTATCTCAGACTCTGAGGCGGGGCCAGCCTGCAGACTGCAGCGACGGGAGCCGCACAGACCGGAGGACCGGGGGACCGAAGGGGAAGGCCACCGCACGGGGAGCTTCCTGCTCCGGGGCGTGTCTCTGGGCACCCTGACCTGCAACAGTGCCTCCCATATCCCCCTGGTTATGTTATGAGTACTACCTGCCTCCTCGAAAGCATGTCACATTATGTAAACTTGCTTCTGCAATCTGCACCCAACTGTCTCTGGACCCCACACTGGCACGCCGGGGCCTGTGGGGAGAGTGCTGAGCTGCCAACCAGGCCGCCGAACCCACGGGCCCTCACAGGAGGGGGCAGGCTCCCTGAGCAAAGGTTCTCGTGGAACTTTCTGGAACATCCTCCTGGATCTGAACACCTCTACTAAAAGCAGGGCTAGAGCGGGATATGGCAGTCCCCACGGCAAAGGGAAGGAAAGGCTCAGGCCGACTGCTTTCTGGAGCTTTCTTCACAAAGCAGCGTTGCTGTACTCCATGCTGTCCTTGCTGACGTATCATCAGTCTTTGTATTCATGGTCTGTGACCTGGGTCCATGCATTGGACAATCCCTGTTACTGTTCAAACGGTCAGAATGTGTGCAAATACATTATCTCATGGTGGAGAAGGGACCCGCGGTGATGTTTGTTTCAGCATCGTCTGACAGAGAGGTTCGTTCACTCACCCACGCGATCCCACTCACCAGCCCCACTGCAGGTCACTATTAATATTGAAGCCCCTCCCAAACTTGCTCACGCTTTCATTGTACAAAATAAGATCTGCAAAAAAAAGACATTCTGCTTCCAGGTAAAGGGAGAGAGGTCGGGTTTTCTCCCCACCCCCATTCTCACTCTGTCCTGCAAAGTCAAGAATCAGGCCTCCCCGCTCACAAGCAGCACACCCCTCCCTCCTGTTTCAGCGACCTTTGGTCACCTTGCCAACCCCTGATCTGATGTTCCTTCTGGCTGGGCTCATACTGCCCAGTAGGGTCCCTACGTGAGCAAACGACTTAGCCCTTGACTCCTAGTCAGAAGGCTGGAGGCTCTGGTCCACGCTGGGGTGCCGCAGAAGAAATACCTGGTAATCTAGTTCCAAGAAGCCTGCGGAGCACAGTTCTACTCTGACCCACACGGGGCCCTCATGAGCTGGAATCGATTCTATGGCCATTGGGTTGTTGCACGGGGGCACTGGAGGGAGTACCCAGTGTGGGTTATTTCTAAGAACATGGGTGATTAAACAAGAATAACAATCAATGTCCTGAAGAGCCTCTTTCACATGCCTGTTGGCTCGAGGAGTTGGTTCCTTTGCCTCCCCTGGGGTTCAGATCAATATCAACAAAACTCCGATCCATAAATGGCTGTGCTGATGGAGCCGTGAGCGCTAGAAGCTTGATCAAGTGCTGTTGTATTTCTTGACACAGACTGATTAAAAATTAAACAAAGTGACAGCCGAGAGCGTGGCTGTGGCAGCGGAGGGGCCCCGGTGAGGGAAGTACAGTGGAGCCTCAGGAGCCCGAGGGATGGGCTCAGCCCAGTGGCTGCCCAGGCTTCCCGTGGGCAGTGGAGTCTAGCGAGTGCATTCTCTGTCCCAGTCGCCTCAGACCACACACCTTCGCAACACGTCCTCAGAAGCATGTGGTTTTCAGGAGTGGCTGAGATGAAATGGCAGGCAGCCCATGCAGAGAGAGTGTGGGCCAGTGGCCTGGCCATGGTGGGGTGCAGGCCATCCCAGCTCCCATCCTGCCAGGCCCCCCACTCCACCTGCAATTCACACACACACACACACACACACACCTCCTCAGGGGGACTCTGAATCCTGGCAGCCTTGCCAAAACGATGTGGTCAGTCCTGCAGCTTCCCCACAAGCGCAGAGGCAGGTTGGAGCCCATCCCTGTAGCTGATATGCCAGTCCATCTCCCCAAGGGTCTCCCCCCCAACCCTGCTGAGCCTGTGTGTCACCAAACACGCTGTTCCCCTCCAGTGGCTGATCCCTCCCAAGAGCACAGGTCCAAGCAAATGCCTCACAGAGTCTTCTATTGGGATCCACAAGCTTTTCATGGACAGATCTTTAGAAGTCAACCCCCAGGCCTCTCTTCCTCGTCTGTCATTCAGTCTGGAAGTTCTGCTGAAACCTGCCTGCCAAGGTTGACCCTGCTGGTATTAGGGGATATAGCAACACTCACACCACCAAAGCAGGACACACTGATACATGGCTGGGGGATAGAGGGGGGGG